ATATATTTATTCCTTTTGCAAACTTAATGTAAAGAACTATTAAAGTTGGTAAGCGAAAAATTACCTTAACTGAAAATATTACCGAAAAATAAGTAAGTTTAAATTTATATTTTTAATCATAGCCACTATGTGTAACCCTTAGCTTGTCAATTGAAGAGCCGCCACTAAAAATGGGATAATAAATTAAATTTCTCATGAGACATCCTATAGACTTGTCCTACATTTGAGGGGCATCAATTAAAATTTTACCAGACTGACATCAGCATCCGCAGCAGGGTTAGGAATCTGGCAGTGTACGATTAGCAGCAAGAACTAAAGTCATCTCAATCGCAACGAGAGGCCTTATACTAATTTACAGGATGAAATTTGAAGCATTCTGATTAAAGATATAGGTAGAACTTTTAAAAAATAAGTAAATAAATATATATATATATATATATACGATCTATATGAATGGCACATTTATTCGATATACTTTCTGACAGAAAACAAGGGGCAGTTATATAAAGTATCTTCACAAGAGACGCATCTTGTCCATGTTTTCATAAGCAACAACGGCTAGATGGAATATTGGTGTTGGTTTATGGATGCTGGGAAGACTGGGAGAGGTACAAACTGCGGTCAGGCCTGGAAGAGATGGTAATTTTGGGAGTAAACCCAAATTATGTTCTTAAGTGATTCTTAGAGCGATTCCTCACTGCGATATCAAGAGATATTTAGAAAAATAACATATCTTTAAACTTTCAAAACCAAGTCAAATTCACTGGCATCATGAGGACTTTACACATTGCATTAAGGGAAATGTAAATCTTCCTGCTTAAATCACATTGTCTACGGGACTTATTCACTTTTTAATTAGAAATCCTCAGTGTTAACTTGGGGAGCACTGCTAGTCAAACTCAGCTGGGCCCAAGGTAGCTACATGCTCTTAAAAAATTCGATTAGTCTTTTTTTATTTAAAGTCTTCTCATCGCCAACAAATAGAACAATGAATGGACCATGAAGAGGAAACTAGAACGACGATCGCCTAAACATGCTCTTTGCTCAACCTTCTCCGTCATCCTCCAAGCCCAACAGAATGACTGAAATTCATTCAGTATTTTAATACCTCTCCTTATTCACCGTTTGCGTGAAGAATCGTATTTATTTAGCTCTAATTTAGAGGAAAAGTTTGTTTGGAGCAAATAAAATAAAATTCCCCAGGGAACACAGATACGCCCCAAACGAGGTAATATTTAGATCCCTCCCCGTTTGGAAAAATCCCTAGGAAACGTATACTTGAACGACTAGGCTTATAAACGAACTGTAGATAGTATCTTTTTTGTTTAGATTTACTGACAGCTTCGGACAATTGTGAGCTACCCTTAAGATTAGATTAGATAAATCCGCCTATTTTTATCATAAATTCTTTAACATCAAAATAGGTACCTTCTGTTCTTACGACTAGCCGAGTGACATTCTTGAACACAGCATTGCTAAGAATTGGATTTAAAATAAAATTTTAAATAATATGAACACTTTATGCATATCGATGCATATCGGGGAAATAGAAGGAAGTCTTCCTATAAGGGTTAAAATAAAAAAAATTTGCAGAAAAACGAGCACGGAAAGATCAGAAATATCACTAAGCTCGGCAAGAAATAGATACAAGATCAACTGGAGGGTAAAATAGGGAGTGATATAGAAGCTGTATTAATCCTATTTCGTTTAAGGTGGCGAAGAACCATTGCATTTTTCATCGATGATATGTGTAGTCCTCCTGTTGCCATTGAATTTCTCATAACTTTGCTTCCCTAAAGGTATTCTTATTCAGGATTGACTGCATTATCGACCTCACCTGAACTGATCTCATTAATACCTCCAGTGGGGCTCAAACCCGCATATTATCTCGACACGTTAACCAGTACTCTACGCTGCCACAAGTGCCCATGTGGAGCAGGAAAGAAGTGAATTTCAAGAAAGCCATATATAAACTCTGCGGTAGAATTGTTGCCCAAGAGTGACGCAGTGATTAGCGTGTCAAGAATATAGGCTACACCATCCGAGTTCGAGTCCTGCTGAGCATTTAATATTAAACCTGCAGGCTACCCTGGATGAGAATACCATTTAGGTAGCAAAGCCACGTGCGACTTAATGGAAACATGATGCTTACTCATAGCATCTTTAGAAAAATCAGATTACAGTCTTTCGTCATCTGAAGCAAAATAGGGTGAATACAGTTCTTTTTTATCGGATCTACTGATAGTCTTGCCAACATTTTTAGAAACTTAAAACAGAAATTCTGATCTTATACAATGAAAATATAATCAAAGGCAAGATCAGAGAAGCCGTCTATAATCATACTGAACCGGAGACTGGAAGAATGCAGAATTAGCAGAAAATATTTTATTGCCAAGACTTGGTAAATTCAAAAAACCGAAGTAATTTGAAATGGATAATTCTTACCTGAATCATCCGTATCTCCTGATTAATTGCATCCAGTTGCTGTTGTATGACTATTGCTAACTTTTGAGCATCCGACTGATTTGATGCAGAGTTTTGATTGCCAACCTCTTCCCCTTCGTGCCTGACCTGGCTGTCCAGGTTTGCCCCAAAATCATCGACGGGCTGCTGTCGCTGTTGCCGATCGACCTCTTCTGAGTTTCTCGAAGGACCAAATGCCCTTAGAATGCTTGCCAATTCATTTGCTTGGGATAAATTCTTTAGATTATTTATATAGTTGGGGTTTAAGCCGAGTGGAATTTGCAGAATAGCCTTCCTGCCGTAAGCATCCACAAGTTCAAAGGGCTTTTTGTCAGCCATAGTACCCTCTTTATCTTCATTATCGGCATAGGCTTCCAGAAGCAGTTTATCTTGTCTTCCTAGGCTACCTTGTATGACCTCATTCTCCATGTTCGTCTCTTCAATATTATCGCAATCCATAGTTTGTTCATTTACCAGCTCTGCAGTGATCCCCGGCAGGGCTACAGAATCGTAAATTGCGGTAGATTGGTCGATATCTGCTTCCAACTTGAAAATAAGGGATATGGTCGATTAATATTTGGTCGTTGTAAACAATTTCAAAGATATAATTTAAAGAGAATTTTAAAAAAA